TAGGTAGTCAATAACCCCACGTCACGGGAAGAAATACTAAACGATTCATGTAGACCAGACAAGGTGATTTTGGTTTTTGAGTAGAATTTAAGTACATAAATAAGATGCAGTTTGGTTTGATACTTCTCTAATTCTTTTCTATTATTTTATTATTAAGTTAATATAATAAAATATTATCTTGAGTATCCCATTTTTATGTTTAGTATTTAGTTTATTAAATTTATTGGTATAACCAATGTAAACTTATGTCATTTGCTAAGTTACAGAAATTGATATCCCTTGCATGTTTGGGAACTAAAAGAGCAGTGTTAACATGTCCAAAGCAGCTCTAGAATCCATAAAAAGGATTTACAATTGTCAGTATTGTCTGAAGAGGCAAGCAGCAACGAGTGGATTAAGACTATATCAGATACAAATTTGTTTGTTCACTAGGATCTAAAGAAAGTCTCAATGGAATTTTTAGCCGAACAAGGGACACCATTGTATTCAAGCTATGACTTTACACGTCATTTAAAGTGATTGTAGAAAATATAAAATGACTATTGAAGCTTAACCAGAGCTAGAGATGGAATCATATGTTACCGACTAGTCCAGTGGTAAATATTGAAAGGTACTTTTCAAAATTATACAGCCAAAAACTTCTTCTTCTTCCCAAACCTCGTGTTTCTTGTACTTTTCCTTGCAATGTTGGTATTAGCTAAGTATTGATTATTCATTGTTTTGTCAGTGTATGGATTTTAATACAAACCATACACTTTATATTTTTAGTGTTACAGTTAAGGCGCTATTTAAAACCTTAGTGGGAGCGCCCACCAAAATGGCGTGGCACGTAGCAAGTGGCAAGTAGCACACGTCTAGCATGTTTCTTAAAATGTAACCAATGAAAACGAACGATTCAGCGCACACCAAAATGACAGTGACGTCATTCATTCTAATCATTCGTTTTCATTGGTTACATTTTAAGAAACATGCTAGACGCGTGCTACTTGCTACGTGCTACTTGCCACGCCACTTTGGTGGGCGCTCGCCCTTACACACTATCTGCCTAGATTATTGTGTCTGACCAACGGCAACGCCTACTTATACAACTCTACGGAAAGCCAGTAAATTAACATCATTCAGACGTATGCCCTCACGGCCGCTAAACTTATGAAGGAGCTAGAAGCTTGATACACTGAGTTAGAAAAACTTTAATCTTAGGTAATTTTAGCGTTATGTTGGGTAGACAAAAGGTTTCTGGATTTATTTGGACTTGGAGTAAAAAACGACAGAGGGAACGATCGAATTCTCTCAACAACATAATAACTAAATTTTTGATTGTTTGAAAGTTTAAATGTAAGGTTCTGTTTTATTAGAATGCATGCGCTGACAATTCAAGTAGTACTTTTGAATCTTTATGTCGTTAAGGTTCATTGGTAAAACAGAATGAAGTTAAATCTCAGTTTAGGGAAATATTATTATTTTAGATTTTCTTAATTGAAAAATTTTTGTATTATATTATATTGTTCATGTATTATTACTATAATATCTTATTGAGATGTATCTAAGAAAAGCAAGGGAATGTTATCTTTATATATATATATATATATATATATATATATATATATATATATATATATATATATATATAAATTGCTATGATGTTTGTTTGTTTGTTAGCAATGAGTGTTTTAAAATAAAATATTTAAGTATACGGTTTTTGTCGCGGTTCTCAAAGAATTAGTTTGTAAGTACTTTTTAAATTATCTTTATTATAACTATTATGAAACTCACATATATCTCTAATATAGACAATATAAATTTAGAACAACCTATCTTAAATTTGAAAATTCTTACAATAATTAAAATATATTAACAAAATTTGGTACCTTTCTATCACTGAATGCCTAAATGAAATTGTTTTCCAATATAAAAGGTTCAATCACCACTAAATATCTTCTTATCAGCCTCGGTTATCCTTGTTTTTGTTAAATTACTTTTTCCAAATATATAAACATGTGTTAATTATCAGATTCCAATAATTTAAATATTTTTTTTCTTTAAAAAAAAACAGCATTTAGAAATGGGCAAAATATTCTTCTTTATACTCTCCAATTACCATATAGATATTTTAATTTTAAATCCTTCTAATCTCCATATAATATATTTTCAAATACACTGTATACTATCTGCTTGTACTATATAATTATTACTTTAATACTGACCACTGTATATTATCTGCTTCTACTATTTATTGACTGACCAACTTCTTAATTAATTTACTAATTAACAGTGGAACTGTCTCCTGTTTATCTTCTTAATTAAATAACTCCATACTGTCACTGTAATTATTTAATTTACTATTATACTAACTTTACTAACTTTATGAATCAACTGTAACTGACTTACAGCCGGTTTCCGAAAGGCTGATCATTATCAAAATTAGGTAATCTACTGTTAACAGTCGATTAAATGCATTTTGAGTTGCAGAAACATCGATCAAACTTCAATCACATAACACACATTAACTAATCTAACAAACAAATAATCGATGATTAACAGCCTGTCAGAAGTATTTTGGGTTTCCGAAACGCTAATTATCGTTTTATCTATGTCAAACAACTGTCATACTAGCTTGTCAGGTAATCTGAGATTTTTGGACGATTAATCTTATAATTTTTGGTTATGTATCAATGGTTGTAAGTAAATAAAATAAAATCTTTGGTTACGTTGTAAATACATAAACCTAAGGTGTTTTATAAAAAGCTGTTGTTTAGAAAGAACTCAAAAATATTGTTACAAAGGTAAACAATTTACTAATATTTAATATTAAATATGATGATGATTGATAAATGACAAATTGGCAAACATTAACAAACGACACAAAATTAATAGTTAGGTTATGTTTGTTTGTTGATTTTCAGAATGCAGATTACACATAAACAGAAATGACGGTAGAGTGAAACAGCAACATTACTTTCTTAATTTAGAGCAAGATAAAGAACAATTCGTACAGAAATAATAAACGATTATAATCGATTCTACAGTTTCCATGTAAAATCGTATGTCAAATAATCTATAATCGGTGATCACCTAATTTTACCATAATTTTCGTTTCGGAAACCTGTCGCTTGTTAACAGTTGATCAAATTTGACACTTGATTACATGATTGGAGATTTGAATAACGTTTCGGAAACCGGCCGTTAATAATGAATTGAATGCCTCCTTGCTCCAAATTACGTCGTATTTATATCTTTTTATGATTCCAGAATCTTCTAGCAACAAATCATGTTCGAAACTGATCCATTTGATCAATATTAAACATTCTCGAATCTTCGACTATGCAAATAGGGTTAACTGCCTTCTATATTGACGTTTTCCAGAAAATTCTTTGAGAATTTTATGGACATTTAGGCTTTTTCAGATCAGAATATATAATTATATATAAACTAAACATCCTAAATCAACACATAACACTATTTTACATCCATAATTATTTGTAAATTAAACATCTTAAATTAATAAATCACCCCACTTCACATCTGATTCTGCAACCATCCCAATGTCAATTATTTAGTGTATATTTGGTTGCCTATGCACATGGCTTATTTAAATATATTTATTAATAAAATAAAATAAAAAAAAAATTTAAACCTATTCTTATGCTAAATTCTTAAAAATACCCTCATATAATTATTTTTTTATAATATCCGCTAGTCTATACCTTATAAATTATTTCTTTAATCACTATTTAAGTTTATTAAGTAAAAATCATAATATTACTATGCTAATTTCTTAAATATCTATTATTATCTCAATATATATTATATATATATATTATATATATATATATATATATATATATTATATATATATAGATATTTATAATATATTTATAACTATATATATATATATATATATTATATATATATATATATTATATATATATATATATGTATTTATATAATATATATATATATATATATATATATTATATATATTATATATTATATAATACATTTTTTCTATATTATATACGTAATTGTTTATACATTTAAATACGTTTATACATTCTTCTATAAATATTAACCAGTTGAATAAATGAAACCAAAGATATTTGATTTTGTTTTGCAAATACATAATATTTGTCTACCTTTTCTATCTATTATCTCATCGACCATATCCTACAGAAAACTGTACTTAAAAACTATAGAATGAAAAATTCTTTATGTCTACAATTAAATTTATGTTTTTGTCTACTACCTTTATAATATAATATAAGCACCACGGAAGACAAAGATTTTTTAAAGTTTAACAAAATATTCATTAACTTGTTTTTTTTTATTTCAACTTTAACGTGCTCGGCTACTGTGGCCATTTACACAGGTACTATAACATGAGTTTTCAGTACACAAACATTAAGTAGGACATTGAGAATATGTTACAAAAATACGGAATGATAATAATATGTTACACGATGTCTAAATTAAAATCTTATTATATTTTTTGATATAAGTGTTCATCTCTAAGGAATTGCAGCACAGCTTTTATTTGGTCAGGGTAGTTTAGGATATTTCGTACTTCACTTTTGAGTTTGTATTGTAATCTTCTGGCCGAATGTTAATGTCATTCAGTGAGAATATGTTTGATTGTCAAATATGATTGGCAGCTTTGACAGGAGGGACGGATGCTAGAGGATATTGGTAGCCGTGTGTGAGTTTTGAATGTCCTATCCGAGGTCGTCTTAACACAAGGAGATCTTGTCTTGAGAGGACTGAATAGTCAAATGTAGGCTAACTGGTTATTGGTGTTTGTATTTCGTCAATAACATTTCGTTATTTTTGTAAGATTGAACGGTTAGAGTTCCAACGATGCTGCCAAAGGAGTCTGGTTCTTCTTTTAGTATATGATTTTAGCTCCTTACAAATTTGAATTTTATTGGTGATTTCAGGTGATATATTTCATTATCTTTATTTTAATATGTTTAAGCATAGTTTATTAACCTATTTTACTGTTACAGGTATCCAGTACAGCCGCTCCAACAAATGCCACGGGGTGAGTAAATATCAAGATTTTATTATGTTGCCAATTTTTAGAGTATATTCAATATATATATATATATATATATTATATATATATATATATATAATATATATATATATATATATATATATATACTGCAGAAGGTACTAGGGTTTTTTTCTCTGGTGGTGGAAATACTAATTTCAGGGCTTTCTTGTGTAGTTTTTGATTTAACATTTTATTAATTGTTTGTTCGTTTTATCCGTTGTTTACTGCTATTTGCTTGATCATATTTAATTCTGTCTCAAAGTTCTATTTTGACATCGGAATTTATGTTAATCTATGTAACATATTATGATAGGCTGCCAGTTTATGTTGTGTTGGATGGGATGATGAATTGTGTATTATCGTGTCAGAATGGGTAGGTTTATGAAATATAGAGAAGTCATACTGGTTTTTAATACTGAAAATTTTAAAATCTAAAAAAATTATGGATTGATTTTGTTCTGTTTCTATTGTAAATTCAATATGACTATGAAGTGAATTATTATACGATAAACATTGATCAAGTTGCCTGTTAGATTCTGTGAAACATACCAGTACGTCGTTTACGTATCTCCACCAATATAAAAACTGTTTAAATATGGGATGTTTTGAAATCTTTGTCTCTAGATGATCCATAAAAAAATCTGATAGGAATGGGCTTAGAGGATTGCCCATTATAAGTCCTGCACTGTTTTTGATTGCACTTGTATTTATTTGATTATTAAATTCAAAGTAGTCCTGGTTTATGCAAACTTCAAGAAGATGTAAAAGTTTCAGATGTAATTATTGGATTTGTATTATTTTGGTCTAGAAGGTTTTTTAGTAGAATAAAAGTTTCTGTAGGAGGGATACTAGAAAAAAGATTTTTTACGTTAAACGAAATTAATCTGGAGTTGTTAGGTAATTGAATCTGTTGTATTTTATTAACTAGTTCTGTTGTATTTTTTTATGGTAAAAAACCACAGATATAATTCTAAATGACCAACTTGAGACAAACAGTTCTCACCTCCTCAACCTATTTCATTAGAGACTATAAAGTGTAAACGCATGACAAAAATAGATCACTTGAAAAAGGCAATCAGCCGAAACAGCTGTAGTGGTAAGAGGATAAAATAAATTTTGAGGAAGTTTGAAAACAAAGTTTTCGGTGTTTTATTGTTACTGATATATATGACTCTATATCTCTTAAAGTCTCCTCTGTTTCCTTTCTTGTGGAATTACAATTATTGCATTTCACCATTCTCTAGGCAACGTTTTTTTCTTTTATATTAGTTTTGGGATGTACAATAATTTTATCTGCTTTCTTTTCTATATATTTCAACATTTTTAAACTATATTGCTTTCAGAAGCATTTATGATCTTTATATATCCTATTGTTTTCTTTAGTTCTTCTTCTGGTACAGCTTTTGATTTGTAAACCATGTCTACATAATTTTCGTGCAACTTCAAACATTTTGAAGATCGGTGTCTATCAATATATGGCAACGTTATAAACGAATCATTTTGATCTACGGTTGCACATCTTTTATATTTGAATGTAATCTTTAGACACACACCAAAGTTCTGAAATTACAAGAATAAATTTTTTTTGGCCAGTCCAGATAATACAACTGTCTGAATTTTGAAGGTATTTTAAGTTACCCCATTTTATATTAATAGTTTTGGTGCATTTATTATGGCATTGTTTAATTTTTTTCATTTTTTTCGACTTTTTTTGTCATTTCTCCTTTTTTGTCCATTTCCTTCTCTAACTCCTTCTTGTATCTAATTTGCATTGTTTCTTCCCTTAGTTTATATATTTTAAATATTTCCTTGTATTTGTTATCTTGTCTTCTGTGCTTTTAATTTCCATTCCTTTTTTGTTAAATGGATTTCCAGTAAGTATTAATTACTGCCCATTTCATAACTTTTACCCAAGTTTACGTCTATTATGCAGCTCCTCCCTGTGTTCTGCACTACAGTGTAGTAGTCAGTAATTGATGGTTCGTTTCTTGATGTGATTTCTCTAATGTTCGTATCTATCTTCATATGATGGAAATGGATATTCATGATTATCAGGTTATTATCTAATTAGAATTCAAGTAATAGTTCTTAACTACTGTTGATTTTATCCTCTCTGTATGGTCCTATTTTTCCAACTCTAGCATTCATATATTCTGTGATCACTATTTGCCCTGCACAATCAATGACTACTTCTTGCAGTTTATTCCAGAACTTATTATTTACGTTTTTTGTTTCATTTTCATCAGGTACATAGCATATGATTAGGTTGATATTTTTCTTTAGCATACACGCTACCCCTGCTTGAGCTCTCTTTTTCTCTTCTACCCCACTATATGTTAATAAGTTACCATTTTCCAATATCAAGGTTCCTGCTCCTTTTTTTTGTTTCTTTTATAGCTGCTACTTTAATCTTATATTTGATTTCTTTTCCCAGTTATATTTCTTTCCCGTTTATGCCTTTTACATTTTATGTTGTCATTTTTAAAATGGCCTTCTCAGTGGTTGTCATTATGTTGCTCCTTACATATGGTTTCTTTCTACCTGCGTTATCATCTTTATCTACTTATGTCAAACACTTATTCAGTGCTTTTTTCATTTCCCGGCCGGACAGGTATTATCTTTAACTAGCCGGAATATATTGTTAGAAGCTTTTTGCCTTTACTCTGTGATTTTCCACAATGCACAATGTGCAATGGTACAAACATCTGTTTACATATATTTTCTGATGTTCCAAACTTTCCAAGCATGCATTTTCGATTTCATCTTGAATGTTCTGAAACTACTTCCTTATGTTTTTTCAAGGGACTTTTTTATGTGGGGGCAAATCTTACAGAAATTTCATAACAATGCTCCCTCCTTTATAGTTATTCGCCTCGAATAACTGGACTCTCATGAAATAACTGAAGCCAACATGGTGAATCAGTTACAGGATATGGAGCTAGCCTCCCTATATAAAATGGGTTTTACTGGTAAGTAGTACCTTGGGTTTACTGCTAGCTGAAAACTGGATGAGGTAGATTAGAACGTTTATTTTCTGCAGGATGGTGTACTGGGTTTTTAAGCTTTGTTGAAGTTTCGGACAAAGGCCTTTCTTACGCGTGGGATTGTATAACTATACTGGGTCACCTCTTTTAAAAGTTGTACTTGTAGCGTGCATATCAAGCTTAGCCTTTGCTTTATCACTGTAGAGTTTCAAACATTTACAAGCAAATTCGTAAACTTTTTCCAAATTTTTCTTTCAAATTTTCAATGTACGTCAGGAATGAATATTCTTCTTAGGAAGGAGGCAATCTATCAAAAATAAGATCTGAAGAAAGCTTTTTATTTTTCCAATGATCATTATCGATGGAGAATAATCAGTTGCTTTATGTTTGAAACTTCTATAGATTAACAGGAATAGAGGAATTAAACTATCATAATCTTTTGGATTATCAGCGACGAACATTAAAAAGTATTGACAAGCAGTTCTATTATGGGTTTCGACCATTCCATCTAATTGAGGATGGACAGGCTTAGTAGGAGTTTTCTTAATACCCAAGATTTTCATTAAATTTTGCCATAATTCTGATTCAAAATTTCGTCCTTGATCAGAATGTAACTCTAAAAGAACTCCTATCATCGGACTGAGAATATCCACTGTAAGTCGTTTAAAAGGCTCAGTGGTAAGATATTGTGCCATTTTACCACGACTTCTTGCACTAGGATCTTTTCTACCCTTACATAAATCACATCTACATCTACATCATTTCTACATCTTGTCGGCAATTGATACAGTAAAATCATTAAATTCTATCAGTAAAATACTTTTTCTAAGTGGGATAAATCTTACGAAACTTTTTTAACAATAATCTCGAACGTAAATAATAATTGATGTAGTAATATACTAATTTACAGTAGTTAATTAAATAAGTTTCATCAGAAAGAGAAAAATCTGATAAACTGTAGTCTTTCTCGAAGTTAATAGTAACCAGTTAAACGTTTATTAGACCTTTTTAAAAATGTTCGTACGGTATCATAGATATTATAGTTTTCAATATTTTGTTCTAAAAATGCTTTATATACTCGTGTTTTAACAGGTTGACTGCCGGGCGGACGTATACGACCGACAGTTCAATAAGTACTTCATGCCACGGCGGGTCATATACGACCGTTTTAATACGGTCTGTGATATAGTTCCTGTTTTGTCAGAGGTCGTATAGAGAAGCGGAGTTATTGCAGTATTCAACCGCCGCGTCGGTGGCATACAGTCGTCGCATATCCATATCAATTTTTATTTTGGCTGAATAGGGGAGACTGAAATGATATCGAATTTTTAACATATCTTTATTTCGAGTAAAAAATATAACACTGTTAAAAATATCCATGATAAACTAAAAGACATACAAAAGTTAAATAAGAACATGAAAGAAATTAAAACTTATTGGTTATTTGGAGTGTTTGTTGAAACAATCTAAAAAAAGGTGTGGTTGACCTTCACAAGTGCCACAGTAAGTTTCTACTATTTGAGTCGATTTTTTGTAAGAGTAAGCCCGGAAGAGATGGGCCATCGGTATAGACGGGCCATTCGTCATATTGAAGATCCTCTATTTATTGTGCAGTGCGGCAACGTTGATTTGTAACATTTAGTCAACGACAGATCTTGTGAACGTGGTCATTGCGACATGTATGCATAAACAAGAGAGATTTTTACTTAATTATATTTTGTTGGTAAAATTTTTCCTTGGTGAATTTTCAAGTTGTGTAAGTTTTGACAAAAGGTAAGTTTTTTTTTATTAATTATGTATTCAACTAGTATATTGAGAATAAACAACTGAACCTAACCTAAAATACCCTTATAAAATTTAAACTGTGTGTTCGATGGCGTGGCCCATCTCTACCGAACCTTTGGGATAGATGGGCCACAGTGTATCGGTATAGATGGGCTAATAATAACTATTGGGTTTGTATTATTCAACAATATTTTTTAATAATATGTATTATTAATTAATTTCTATATTGTTACAGGTTACAATATGCCTTCATATTATAAGCGGAAATCTACTGTTAAAAGAGGTAAATGGAGCGAAGAAGCACTACAAAATGCAGTTGCAGCTATCAGAGAAAATCGCATGGGACTAAATGGAGCTGCATTTGCTTATGGCATACCTCGAAGTAGCATACAGAGAAGAATGAAAAATAATGATCTAAAAAAACACAATCGTCTTGGACCTTCTTCAACTCTTGGGGATGAGATCGAGATGAAATTAATGCTGCATATTAAGAAATTGCAAAAGTATGGTTTTGCACCCACTCGTGACCATGTACGAACTGTGGCGTTTGAGTTAGCAGAAAAATTTAATGTAAGTCACAAATTCAATAAAAACAACAATAAACCTGGTTTTGACTGGTTGCAGTCTTTTTTACGTCGCCATCCAGATATATCAGTGCAAACAGGTGAAGGAGTTTCTTTGGACAGGGCAAAAGGATTAAACCACGAGGTAGTTACACAGTACTTCGATCTGCTGCTAAGTATTTTAACTAATAGTCAACTAATAAATAAGCCGGAGCATATTTTCAACGTAGACGAGAGGGGTTTGCAGTTAAATAACAAGCCTGGACATGTACTCGCGTGTAAAGGATCCAAGAATGTCCCTGTTATTACATCAGGAGAGAAAAGAGAAACGATTTCTGTGATAAGCTGCTGCAATGCTGAGGGCGTATTTTTACCTCCGTAAATGCAGATATTTTTTTACATTGGCTAAAAAATCTGTTTATTCCTCGAAAGCCTCAGGGCAAAGTTTTGCTGATATTAGATGGACATACGTCCCATACAGCAGCAGTGGAAGTATTAGAATGCGCCGAAAACAACGAAATTTTAATGTTGTTCTTACCCAGTCATACCACGCATTTTCTGCAGCCATTGGACCGAGCTTTTTTCAAATCTTTAAAGGCTAATTTTTACTCGAGATGTCAAAACGATATCAGAAATAACCTAACAAGAAAAATTACACGTTATCAGTTTGGTGAGTTGTTAGGAAATGCGTGAAAAATCTCAGCAACGGTGAAAAATGGAACCTCTGGATTTGTTGCCACAGGAATTGTACCGTTTGATCCTGATAAAATTCCAGAGCACTCTTTTTTGTCCACAAATGAGAACTCCTCAGCTATAGTAGAAGAACAAAGTAATACAGCAATAGATCTAAATATTTTAGATCAACCAGGTCCTTCACTTGCAGGCATTACTCTAGTCGTTGATGAAGAAACTGCAGCTAGAACGACTAATGTTGAAGACTCAAGTGTAACACCTGGAAAAGTATTGGACACGTTATCGCCTGTACCCAAAATTGATGCTGCAAAAAAGAATGTAAGGGGCCGAGCAAGAAGAGTTGCGGAAATGCTTAATTGTGCAGACAAAATTCAAGAAAAGAAGATAAAGAAACAAGAATCAAAAAAGAAGACAGTTTCAAAGCAGCAAAACAAAAAGCGTCAATGTAAAAAGTATGAGTTAGATTCGTCTGATGATGATATGAATGCAGATGTGCCAGTTTTAGATGACAGCGAAGACGAAGACTGGGTTCAATGTTTGATTTGCAAACACTGGTGCCATGACAACTGTACAAAATTTGAAAATGTTTGTGATTCGTGTGGAAAAATTGCTAGTAAAAAGAAATAGGTTAACATCATTATTTTATGTGTTTCAAATTAGCACATCTCTACCAATAGCAATGGCCCATCTGTACCTATGTGTTGGTATAGATGGACCAATAAGTATTAATGTTAATTTCTATAACTTTTATATTGCTTAAGTTATACGTTTTTTATTTTGCATAATAAATATATAAACTATAATAAGTATTATTTTCCAAAAATCGTATCATACACTAGTCAATTTTTCAAGTAATCTGTTTGAGAAAAAAAGTGGCCCGTCTCTCCCGGACTTACCCTATGTTTCCCCGAATATTCTCTTTTTAACAACCTTTACAGTATTTCTTTATTTTATCATATGGTTCTTCTTTTTTTCACCAAAGTATGAGTTTGCATCGATCTCTTTGTAGTTTGTATTTGTTGTTGTTCCCTTTCGGAATCATTCTGTCACTTAATGTTGTCTTTATAAGTTAAGAGCGACTTTATTACATGTTCTCTAAGTTCAATTATTTTCACCTTTTTATTGGCTAGTTGGTTAAAAATAATGTCAGAATTTAATATTGATGTAACGAGAAGAAATTTAACAGCAAGCTTTTATACCATTTTAGTGACTTTCGTAGAGGTGAATTATAACTTGCCATCTGGTCTAACTGGTCAATACAGGACTTTGCCTCATTATATTCTATTACAGCCTGCGATTTATGAACATCACCACATCGTCACTGAATTGCTCGAGTTTTGATAGTGGTTTAGTGGATAGTAACAAGACATCTCTTTTATCCTTTCACTTCAAAACGCAGATGTCTCTCTCGTTGTCCAACCTAAACGTTTCCCCTTTTTTTAATTTTTTATTTATTACTTCTTCTGGGTTTCCACGACGATTTGCTCTTAGCGTCGTAATATGAAAATTATATCTTGCCTGAACGTTCATTGCTTTCCAAAACCATATCAACCATCATTTTACCGCAACTTGCATTTTATTTCAAGAAATAATAATTGTTTTTAATATTATGTAATTCTAAAAATAATACGAGCACAATCAACTTACTTGTCTTACTAACAGTCAAACCTCTACTAATAAAATATTGGTCAAAACAACCACTTAGTAGAATAATACTCGACAAGTATCACCCTTAGACTTAGGCAAATATATAAATAAAAAAGGATATATATTTGTTTGATATATATTTTAAATTATGTTTTGTTATGATTTAGGGCATTTTTTTCGAATTTAAAATTGTATGCAAGTTCCCTGTTGCTGTGGGAGGATGTTATTTTGGAAGGTTACCTTAGCTTTCTATAAAGATTGGCAACTATCGTCCGTTAAAAGGTTAATTATTTTTTTTATCAACAAAATGATCAGCATAGAAATTAGCTGTTATCAACTATGTTCCCCAACGTGTTAAGATGGGTTGCGGTGGCAGTGGAACACAATTCTTACAGATGATTTCAGGAATACCTTTTTGACTCTCGCTGTTAAACTGTTAACTAGTGGAAGTTTTTTTCTTACTTCCTCCGCAACTCTGTTTATTCCTTGCGCTAAACAAGTGACATGTATTAAGTCTGGATAAAATATTTTTAAATTGTGTCCTACATTAACCACATATGGTGCGGCTTCAGATAAAATAAGCAATAATTTATCATTAGGCACAGTAGCAGGAAGGAAAAAGTTTGCTAATGCTTCTTGTAGAAACCGTGATATTGGTTTTTTCCACTTGCTTACAGGAAATTAAATACGAATTTGGAAAACAATAAGTGTACAATGTATCTTTCTGACGAGTCATACCATATGATTATAAAACAAAATTAAATATTTGCATTTTCATGCTGTCTGTAAGTTTGAGTATAAAAATATATAGTTAAAACCAAATTTTCAAATTATATACAGTTTATGCTCACATTTATAATAATATGTAAAATTGGTGAAATATTAGTAATGGAAGTATTTCAGTTGGTCGCCAGATCCACTTTTTTCAACTTGGCACCATGAAATTGATTAAACATTTTTTGTAGCAGTCAACCTGTTAAGTATCTTTTAGTAAGTAAGTTTAAAAGAATTGCGTGAAGAATAGAAAATGACATTGACATTCATACCCGCAAGGACTTCTTTTTAAAGAATAATTTCAATATGGGTTTAAAGCTATTTATCTATTATATAGTATTTTATCCTTTTTTAATATTTTCATTTTCAATTTTGTAATTTAAATATCAAATGAGGATAATAATTATTTTAATTCTCCTTCTTATCTCTTTATTCTCCAAATAGTTGTAGAGTATTTTTGTATATTATTTTATATAAATTCTGACAAATTTTATTTAAAAATAGTTAACTATTTAGACATATTAATCATATAGAACTTAATTTATAAAATATAAATCGGTACAGCTAAAGATTGGCCACTTGACAGTTATTTATTATTCTCTTCTAAGTAAAGTTCAGACATACTTTTGATAAAACAACAACTTTGACTATAAATTTTTGAATCTTTTGTGTTTTAGCGAAAATGCAGCATTCCAAAAGGGACCTATAAAATACAAAACAAGTCAAAACGACACTACAACAACTGAGTCAGTTAAGAAGGATACGGATACCACGGATCCTAACCATCAGCAATTAGCAAAAACGTCAGGATCGGTATCAGGTACGATTAAGCTTGCTTCAAAAACTATTAATTAAGTGGTTACGACTTGTACTAGGACTAGTACGGTAGAAACCATACAATAAACTACATTTGATACTGTAATATATACTATTTTTCCAACAGGAAAAGTGTATACTGAGGATAAAAAACAACGGTAATAGATTACAATACCGACAAAACTGTTAAAACTATCACTAGAAAGGCTATAGGTAAAACTACAGAAAAACTTATTACATCAATTACTCTTCAAAGAGTGTTTTTGTCTACTAGGGAAAACCTGTAGAAATTACTCAGGCACAGGCAACTTTTGAAAGGCCTCAACGAAACAAAAACCAGATATCACTACTGTTAAATCTTCGGAAACTACTACAGAAAAACCTGTAGTAACTACACAAATGCACAAAACTTTAAAATCAACAACTGTTAAAACAACTACTATACCTACAACAAAACAAAGTAATCTTCAAAAAACAGATTTTAGTTGTGGTCATTTAGACACAACTACAGCAGAAAATATTACAAATAATTTAAAGGCTTTTAATTCTCAACTAAATCCTACTTTGGCTTCGCAAGTCCAAGCTTCAACTACATTGACTAAACCTGTCTCTAGTACAACAGTGTCATTTGCTGCAACTGTGCTTACTGCAACTTTAATTTCGACTAAATTTATGGTCTCAACATGTTTTTAAATTTGATATATTTTTGTTCAATATGTTTTAATAATTTTACGTCTTTTAACATTAGTACTATATACTATGTTGTATTAGCTTTGTACCTAGGTTTGTTAAAAGGAACTCTTTATACAACCGTAAGTATTTCTCTCTTTTATTGATATTTTCTGTATTTAGCCTAGCTTCTTGAACCTTCATTTGTATTCTTGTTTTACTGTTAGGTAATACTTCTTGTGGTGCTCAGTGCTCATTACGTCGTTTCATTATCGAGCAGTAATTATTGTGATCAGTACAATGTTTGCATGTCATAAAATTTTCCTGCAATTGCATAAGATATGAAGATGTGCGGATGATACGGTTTTGATTGCTGATAATGCGGAATATCCGCAAATATTAGTGGAAATCTGTGACAGATATGGCATAAAATTAAACTGTAAAAATACTAAAATTTTTGTAATAATTAAAAAGCACCAATTCACAGCTAATAATGAACCCTTGAAAATAGTTCGACAAAATTACATATCCTGGATGCAGTCTAAATAAGAAATGGGACCTTTCACAGGAAATAAGATGTCGTATAGAAAAGACAAGAGCTGTCTTCAATCGCCTTAGAAAGATTTTATGTAATATGCACCTGAACATTGATATAAAAACACAAGTCTTGAGATGCTATGTATTTTCTACCCTGTTATATGGAGTCGAAGCCTTCGAAATCTGGTGCTACCGCCGCACGTTCAGAATTTCCCACATGTTACAAACAACACTGTGATCCAACGTATAAACAAAGATCTGGAAATTATGCATATCGTAAAAATTTAGAAAAATGACATACTTAGGTCAATTAGAAGTATCAACTAATTTAACTAATTTTACAAGGCAAGATAGAAGGCAAAAGATCTCAAGGGCGCAGAAGGACATCGTGGTTGAAGAACATCAGACAGTGGTCAGGAATAATTACCATACATCTATTTAGAGCAGCTGATAACAAAGTTGTATGGACCAACGTGACCAACCAACATCCACAAAGGATAGACGCCAAAAGAAGAAGAGGAAAATTTTCCATATTTTGTCTTTCTTTGCAGTTGCAGTTTATGCTCTTGTTACATGACCTGGTTAGTTTCATTATGTGCTGTTATTCTTTCAATATTGTCTGATACTCGTGATCTTTTGCATATAGCAGCATTAGGTATTTTATCACATAGAGAAACTCTTAACATTATTCTATCCATTGTTATTGCGAGCTGCATAAATTAAAACCTTTTCTTTTGAAACAGACTGTAATCTTTGAACTAAAAATATCCTTTGTCTTTTCAAATTCAACCCAACTTAAGTTTACATCATATGGCAAATTTTTATTTAACGATATTTATATTTACTAGAGCCACCCCGGCTCTAATGTTTAGTTTGTGGCCGTTTTATTGAATCTCAAAAAAATTGCAGTTTTAGGTAGCACAACTCACATTTTTTCATTGAAGCTTTCCTTTAATTTTATTTGATTGGTTATTGTTCTTACCTTGTAACAGACATGGATCCCAACTAGATCACAATCAGTTTAGAATACGTGCAGTCTCTGGTACATTATGACTTTTATAAGCTGTATTTTAATAAACAAAGTTAGTATGTTATTAGTTTAATTTAAATCATCGGTCGGTATGTCATTATATTGCCAGAACTTTATCGGTGCAGAATTTTCGAGTCCCAAAGTCTATATTTTGTGAGATAAGTCTAATAATATTTTGTTCCAATATAAATATATTCAAGTTCTCTAGTTTAAAAAAGTGAGAATCAATTGTTGATGAATGATGATGAAGTTTTTATCATTATAAGGATATTTAACAGTAAAAAGTTGTTTGTCTACTGATCAAAATTTTCTTTAATTTTTGGGTTTTTTTTCTTTGGTACTCGGTTCTCCCGTTAAACAACAATTGTGAGTCAAATGAAATCGTAGGTTTCCACGGCCAGAGTCAGAATTATAGTTTATTCGTCTTCCGGGTTTGGACCGTGTCATTTGTGAGTGACCCAAAAGTGGGTTCATCTCGACGTTTCGCTACAATTGTATGTAGCTTCTTCAGGAGAACAAAAAAAAAGAAAAAAGAAAGAAAAAGAAAACAAAAGAACAGGAAGATGGGTAGTTAGCAACGGTAACTCAGTTACTCAACGCAACCAAAGGCGAATACTAACTACCAAGATTAGCATTTGGTCACAGTAACTCAACTACTCAACGCAGCCAGAGGTGAAAACCAAATGCCAGGACAAGGATTCACGTCCAACAGCTCAGAACACTAACCCGTCGAGAGGCGGGGAGTGGATTCACTCCCCGCCTCTCGACGCGTTAGTGTTCTGAGCTGTTGGACGTTCTCGACGCGTTAGTGTTCTGAGCTGTTGGACGTGAATTCCTGTCCTGGCATTTGGTTTTCATCTCTGGCTGCGTTGAGTAGTTGAGTTACTGTGACCAAATGCCCATCTTGGTAGTTAGTATTCGCCTCTGGTTGCGATGAGTAACTGAGTTACCGTTGCTAACTACCCATCTTCCTGTTCTTTTGTTTTCTTCTTTCTTTCTTTTTCTTTTTTTTTTTGTTCTCCTGAAGAAGCTACATACAATTGTAGCGAAACGTCGAGATGAACCCACTTTTGGGTCACTCACAAATGACACGGTCCAAACCCGGAAGACGAATAAACTATAATTGTGAGTCAATTACATTTGTTGTACCAATTAAGAATGGCTTTGGTTTCTTGGAGAACGGAGTATAGCAATGTCACAATCTTTCTAATATAAAACCATATATCAGTGTAATACATATCAAACCTCAAAATCGACGTTTGTATGTATAACAAATCTTTATATTATGGTGGAAATATTGAGTTATAATTTATTGTAATACAACTTATTTTTATTGACCTGACGATGCTTCAACAGATAGAGTAGTTAATAGGGTATAATTTTACTGTTTGCTTCTCCCACTTGGACTTCGACTGCTTCTACTGGAAATTAAGCATGCTTGCCTTAATGAATACGTTCGGCGTAAAATCCCTTAAAATGTAAATAGTTCTGCTCTCAACGGACGACATGACTCTATGGTTTTACCAATATTGTGTATTAGTTTTTGTATGGGACTTTCATACGTAGTTTTATACTTGTATGATGTTCAATCTACTAGAAGTTACATCTCTTTAAGTTCATTAGATACACCCAGAGCAATTTTTTAGTTTGGCGATACCTTCAATTTCTCGCTATTTGTGCTAAAATAACCATTGTAGTTTGATCCTATTGTGCATATGCATGACCTGAAGTTACAAGATCTTCTCGTGTACTAGTAGAGAGCTCTAGGGAATGCCACCAATTGTATTTACTTATTTTAAGTGCAGGTGATACAGTTTATCGCGTTGGACTTTTTTTGTAACTAAAAATTTATACTTTTCTAAAAACGGATGATTATAATATATCTCCTGCACTAAACACAACTACTCAAATTAACACATAAATATCTTAATCTTTTATAAAACGTTATAAACGTAACATTTTATATTGAAATCACTACTTCTTTAACGATTAGTTGGTATTTATTACATACCATTTAATAAAGTAATACTTATTTGGTTGAAAAAAATGTTGCCTTTTTTTGATCATAAAGTTTAATAAAAATGTTTTTAATATGCAATATACAATATATTATAAATAGTCATTGAGAGATGTAAGACTTTGGAAACTACTACAGAAAAACCTGTACCAACTATTTTGTGTCTACTACTCTAAACACAACTAGTCAAATTAAGCAAAAAAATCTTAATCTTTTATTGTTTATCAACTAATATTCAATAATAAATTAGATTTATTTAGTTATATAGACTAAAAAGGTCATAAAGTTACACTTGGTTTAGTTTCAAAAATTATTTTGCTTTTTTTAGTGTTTTTTGTCATATTATGCTGATGCTTATACTCATTTAGAACTTTAAACCTTTGGGTTTAAATAACTAAAGAAAAACCTGCACTAATTACTCAAGTACAAACAATTGTTTTATCAACAACTGCCTTAATTACAGAAACAATAGCTGTTAAAACAACTACTCCACCTACAACAACAGAAAGTAATCTCCAAGAAACAGATTTTAGTGGTAGTTATACAGATACAAGTACGGACGAAGTTGTTACCACTAATAAAAATAATTTATCGGCTTTTAATTCGCAACCAAATACTACTTTGGTTTCACCTACCCAAGCTACAACTAGAGCTACTAAAACTGTTTCTAATACAACAGTGTCACCTGCTGCAACTAAGCTTACTACGACTGTAATTCCGACAAGATTAGTTGCAACTACAATAAAACCTACGACAGGTATATTTTTAAACTTAAATAATAATCTGCCTATCTTAACATATAATGCTATTAATATTTTTATCTTATTCTTATGAGTATCTTAAATTTACTGTTGTAAATAAACTAACAGCAAGACTAAAATGATTTTGGTTAGTCCACACCATAATTAAACACAAATACTAGTTTTTCAGCTTCAATAGGTTTATGGTTTTATACTGTTTTTGTTCAATATGTTATTAATAATTTTACGACTTTTACATTAGTAGTACATACTATTTTGTATAATTTTTGTGCTTTGTTTTGTTAAAAGCACCTCCTTATCCAACATAACTATCTCTTTACTGTATTGACAATTTCTGTATGTAGTCTAGGTTTAATTTTATTCACTATGTCAGATGCAAATTACATCTGATAGCTGATTTAGATTTAACCATATTTGTTTTTACTAGAGCGACCATAGATCTAACAATATTTATGATTTTTCAGTTGTTTATGATTATTGCTTGGCTACTTCATCGAATCTGGAGAAGAGCGAAGTTTTGATTCATTATTGATGGCTCAATCCACAGTGTTGTATTGAAGATTTTTTTTTAATAAGTTCTTTAGTGTTCTTACTTTGTAAACCGTATTACTTTGTAATTTTACTGTTTGCTTCTCCCACTTGGACTTCGACTGCTTCTACTGGAAATTAAGCATGCTTGCCTTAATGAATACGTTCGGCGTAAAATCCCTTAAAATGTAAATAGTTCTGCTCTCAACGGACGACATGACTCTATGGTTTTACCAATATTGTGTATTAGTTTTTGTATGGGACTTTCATACGTAGTTTTTATACTTGTATGATGTTCAATCTACTAGAAGTTACATCTCTTTAAGTTCATTAGATATACCCAGAGCAATTTTTTAGTTTGGCGATACCTTCAATTTCTCGCTATTTGTGCTAAAATAACCATTGTAGTTTGATCCTATTGTGCATATGCATGACCTGAAGTTAAAAGATCTTCTCGTGTACTAGTAGAGAGCTCTAGGGAATGCCACCAATTGTATTTACTCATTTTAAGTGCAGGTGATACAGTTTATCGCGTTGGACTTTTTTTTGTAACTAAAAATTTATACTTTTCTAAAAACGGATGATTATAATATATCTCCTGCACTAAACACAACTACTCAAATTAACACATAAATATCTTAATCTTTTATAAAACGTTATAAACGTAACATTTTATATTGAAATCACTACTTCTTTAACGATTAGTTGGTATTTATTACATACCATTTAATAAAGTAATACTTATTTGGTTGAAAAAATGTTGCCTTTTTTTGATCATAAGGTTTAATAAAAATGTTTTTAATATGCAATATACAATATATTATAAATAGTCATTCAGAGATGTAAGACTTTGGAAACTACTACAGAAAAACCTGTACCAACTATTTTGTGTCTACTACTCTAAACACAACTAGTCAAATTAAGCAAAAAATCTTAATCTTTTATTGTTTATCAACTAATATTCAATAATAAATTAGATTTATTTAGTTATATAGACTAAAAAGGTCATAAAGTTACACTTGGTTTAGTTTCAAAAATTATTTTGCTTTTTTTAGTGTTTTTTGTCATATTATGCTGATGCTTATACTCATTTAGAACTTTAAACCTTTGGGTTTAAATAACTAAAGAAAAACCTGTACTAATTACTCAAGTACAAACAATAGTTTTATCAACAACTGCCTTAATTACAGAAACAATAGCTGTTAAAACAACTACTCCACCTACAACAACAGAAAGTAATCTCCAAGAAACAGATTTTTAGTGGTAGTTATACAGATACAAGTACGAACGAAGTTGTTACCACTAATAAAAATAATTTATCGGCTTTTAATTCGCAACCAAATACTACTTTGGTTTCACCTACCCAAGCTACAACTAGAGCTACTAAAACAGTTTCTAATACAACAGTGTCACCTGCTGCAACTAAGCTTACTACGACTGTAATTCCGACAAGATTAGTTGCAACTACAATAAAACCTACGACAGGTATATTTTTAAACTTAAATAATAATCTGCCTATCTTAACATATAATGCTATTAATATTTTTATCTTATTCTTATGAGTATCTTAAATTTACTGTTGTAAATAAACTAACAGCAAGACTAAAATGATTTTCGTTAGTCCACACCATAATTAAACACAAATACTAGTTTTCCAGCTTCAATAGGTTTATGGTTTTATACTGTTTTTGTTCAATATGTTAATAATAATTTTACGTCTTTTACATTAGTAGTACATACTATTTTGTATAATTTTTGTGCTTTGTTTTGTTAAAAGCACCTCCTTATCCAACATAACTATCTCTTTACTGTATTGACATTTTCTGTATGTAGTCTAGGTTTAATTTTATTCACGATGTCAGATGCAAATTACATCTGATAGCTGATTTAGATTTAACCATATTTGTTTTTACTAGAGCGACCATAGATCTAACAATATTTATGATTTTTCAGTTGTTTATGATTATTGCTTGGCCACTTCATCGAATCTGGAGAAGAGCAAAGTTATGATTCATTATTGATGGCTCAATCCAGTGTTTTATTGAAGATTTTTTTTAATAAGTTCTTTAGTGTTCTCACTTTGTAAACACTATCACTTTGGTCTTCCCGATATGTTCTATTGCGTAAATGCCGGTTAAGTAATTTGCAAAACCTGCCAAAAGTTTTTTTTACTGTGAACAGATTTGTTAGTGATCCTGGTTTTATAGACCCTATCACTATCATGCAGCTTATATTTAAATTTATAACATATATAAACCCTAACTAGATAGTAATAAGTATATAATATGACGTTGGCCGTCATCATGTTTACAATTTCCTGAAACCTTTCTCTGTCGGCTTCTGCGCGAAATAATTCTTCTACTGTGGAACTACACCATGGTCTAATATTACGCAGCCATGAAAGTTTCTTTCGACCAATCCATCTCTTTCCTTCCACTTTTCCTTGTATTATAAGGCAAAGTAGATGGTATTTAGGTCCTCTAATTATATGGCCGAAGTATTCTGTTTTTCTCCTCTTTATAGTGTTTATGAGCAGACGTTCTGAATTGATCATTTAAAGAAAATCTTTATTGGAAGTGTGCGAAACTTACGATATCTTTAGGATTCGTCTATAGCACCACAATTCGAATGCTTCTAACTTGTTTAGCATTGTGGTTTTTAACGTCCATGTCTCACAACCATACAATAGGATCGACCACATATAACATTTCAGGACCTTCTTACGAATATTCATCGACAGGTTTCTGTTGCATAAAATTGGTTTCCACGTCATAAAAGCCTTACGTAATATTTCGATCCTGGTTACTATTTCTTTATCAGAGTCACAATTTAAATTTAACCAGCTGCCAAGGTATTTGAAATGATTTACGCTTTCGATCTCCTCTCCATTAAGAGAAATCAGACCTTGATTTATATTGGACTTTCCAACGACCATCCACTTTGTCTTTGAAATGTTGATTTTAATGCCTCTCCGATAACTTGCTTCACCTACAAGATTTTATAATGTTTAGAGATCTTGTAAATTTTCTGCAAGAATGGCTGTATCGTCAGCGTATCTAATATTGTTGATTACTTCTCCACCTAGTCTTACTCCCTCTTGTCTGTCATCCAAAGCCTCTCTAAAGATTTCTTCAGAGTAATGATTAAAAAGAGTGGGTGACAAAACACAACCCTGCCGTACTCCACGTTTGATGGATATTTTTTCAGTCTGACTGTCTCCAATTTGGATAGAGGCTACTTGATTGTAATAAAGTACTTCAGCAGTCTTATATCATAGTGGTCAAGTCCTGCTGTCCGTAGGCAATCGAGAAGTGTATCGTATTGTACTCTGTCGAACGCCTCCTCGAAGTCGATGAAACAAACATAAACATTCTTTCGAAATTCACATCTTTTTTGTAATAGAACGCACATACAGGATAGTGCCTCTCTAGTTCCTAGACCGTCTCTAAATGCAAATTGCTTATTACCCATCCTACTTTCGCATAGAAGGACTTACTGTACTTAACTAGACAAATTTATTCTGTCATAAGTTTCCTTTAAATTATGTCAGTGTGTTCTGCTATTGCCAGAACTTGATCGGTGCAGGTTTTGTCATTCCTAAATCCTCCTTCTTGCGGAATGAGAAGTTAAATAATATTTTTGTTCTATTCTGTATATGACCAGTCCCTTTTCTCGCTGAAACAAATAAGAAAGAATTGTATATGTAGCTACTAGAATTCTCTATGTTCTTTTCTGTAACAACAATATTAATGAAGTTTTTACCGTTATAAAGATCTAAATAGTAAACATTTGTTTGTCTGCTGATCTAAATTTTATTTTCTCGTTTAACAATTTATTCTGACGCAACTACATTTGTTGTATTAATCAAGAATGGACTTTGTTTCTTAAAATCATTGTTAAATTTTTCTACTAGGGTTTATGTCATTCTGCTGTTATGTATATCTCTATTTTTTCCAAGATTAGAGTAAATTTTCTTTTTTTAATTTAATTTCTACAATTTGAAGTGTTTGTGCTCTTCTCTAAAGTTCTTTTAACTTTAAAGTAGATATTCCAGAAATACATTTATCTGTCTCGCTGGATATAACTTGAATTTCTGCATTAATAATACACACAAAAAAACTTATATGGAATCAGCATATATTTCAAACCAATATTTATTTCTTTTAAAAAAGCATGTTGTTCTTGCGAAAAAATAAAAAAATTTATTAAAAATAAACAAACCAACAAAACAATCAGACAACACATTCCGGTACGGTATATATTATTTGTTTTAGTTGTAAATTGAACAAAAATAAATACACTAACTTTCGTTTTTAAAAACGAAAATATGCATTATGTGGAGTTAACGGAGTAATGGAGAGTAAGAGCACTGAGATGCTACGTGTTTTCGATACTTCAATATGGACTTGAAAGCTGGACATTTAAGCAAGAAAACATAAATAAGTTACAGTCCTTTGAAATGTTTTGT